GCTATGTTAGCATAACATAAACAGTGAAGCTGGAGGACGAACACTAACACTTTTCCACTTATAAAAGTTAACGTGAAGGTTCTTCATGGTTAGAGACAAATGCAATCGCATGGCAGGATGTTGTAAACGGACCAAACTTCAGTCAGGAGAACAACTGAGATAATCCATCCACAATACGAGGTTAGTCATTAATAGACTGCAACAACATGGGAATAGAGCAGCTGCAGAGAATTCAACATTAATGAATCAATGGTACAGAAGTGGAGGAAGCAAGAAGAATGAGTTTAATAAAGTTTGATTTATCTGACTGCTTTGTTTCACTTAATGTGCCTTATAATCCCGTGCACCTTATGGTCCGAAAAATACATACTGCACACTGCAGTTTAATGTTGCAAAGCACCTCTTTTTTACTTCAGTGGATATTATACATGGTTATGCTCAGGATATGTCAGCCCATTTCTACTGGAAATGCCTTTTGGTTAAACTTTCAGCAAGGAATTTGCATTTGCACTGTTACATTTTTATAAAGCTTTAATGTACATAAAAACCAGCTTCTTGTTTAAGTGAAAATAAATGGAAGGTTGTCTTTTTGCGCTAGTAATGTTGTGGAGTTGTATTTTGTCTCGCATCAATTATATTGTCAGTTATATCGTTATCGCAAATTTTCAAATATATATCGTGATAAATATTTTTGGCCATATCGCCCTGCTCTATTACACAAACTATCATACAAATATGCAGAGGACAGGATGTCTAGTAATATAAGTTATTATGTGAATTTAATTTAGCAAAAAGACGGAACTAGTCGTATTAGACATTGTGAATATATGAGCAGGTATTTGCTAAGTACTCCAACAAAAATTTAGTCTTACCTGGTTGCATATTTAGCCAGCTTCTCCTCCTCCCAGGCAGTGTTTCCTCCCCCAAAGTTCTTATTGGCTGTTCTCTCCAAGCCCTAGAAAGAGTAAAAGTTAGGGTCCTAAAAACATTCTTTTTAAGGTTTGCTCAAAGAAGACAAGCAAGCATTGACAGTTTCTTTGGATACAAGGACTACCTTAATGAAACTCTCAGTGAGTTTTTTGCAGGTTTGGCACGGTGCTGTCTGGACTCTCACCACAGAGAGCTCTGAGAGAAGCACCAGAGCAGGCAGGAACGGCCAGGCCCACCACATGATCCTATAGACAGCATGCATACATACAAACAAACGCACAAACAATTAATGTTTAAAAAAAAACAATTTTTTTTTTTTTTACAAGTTTTGTTTAAACATCATAGCAAGTGTCATCAAATGCACCTACACTTCCAGAAAAAACTGTGTTTCTAGAGATCTGATCACAACTATGTGGTGGACAATACAAAAGAAACTGTAATACGAACCCATAGCTGTGCAAAACGCACTAAAATTCTTCTTCTTGCTTCCTTTATGAATCAGCATGTCTTCTTCTTTCTTCACTATATCCATGAACCTCCTCTGAGCTCTTCCTCTTTTCATTCTGCCTGGCAACTCCATATTCACCATCCTTTGCCTAATATATCCACTATCCACCTGCATATGACCAAATCATCAGTTTGCCTCTCTAACTTTGTTTTCAAACAGCTCAACCTGAGCTGACCCTCTGATTTAATTTCAAATCTTGTGCATTCTGGTCACTCTTGATGAATATCTTAACATCTTCAACCTCCAGCTCTGGCTTCTGTTTTATTTATTTTTTATTAGGGCTACCATCTGCAAACCTTATGTCACAGGAAGTCTCATTGCCATCTTGTAAACCTTCTCTTTCACTTTTATGGTTATCCTTATTTCACAAGTTACCCCTGACTCCACCCTGCCTGCACTGTCCTCTTCGTCGCTCTTGCATACTGTGTACTTACTTTGGATGGTTGAGCAGTATTGACGAGTTGACAGGTATTTGTCTTTCATTCCTCTTCTCTCCAGATCATACCTTCACCTCTTCCAATTCTCTTCCACCTGCTTGCAACTACTGCTACAAATCACACTGCCGTATGCAAAATTAGTCCACGAAGACTCCTGTCTGACCTAAGCTGTCACTCTGTTTATCAGCACTACAAACAAGAAGGTTTTTTACAGCTGATCTCTGATATAATCACACTGCCACCTTGAACCCATCTTTCACTCCAGCTATGCACCTCATCGCTACCTGACTGCTTTACATGTTTTCCCCATGCTCCCCACACAGTACGTTTGTGATGGTTGACTTTTGAAGATTGTAGTGAGTGATTCAATGCCATATTATTATGATATTACTTAAATAGCACTAGCACGGCTACATTGCAGTCATATTGTGCAAACCTCCAAGCACCTTCACCACACTAGTGTAGCTAAAATAAAATATTGTAAGACTCTTTTTCTGATCTACAAATAGCTGCATAAGTGCTGACTAAAACCAGAAGGAAAGAACTAGCATGCTTATACTAAAGCCAAGGGTGCCTGGAAGCTTAGTTTTGATTTACATTTTTATTTGTTAACATGACAGTAACAGGTTATGCACTGGAAAATGTCTCAGAAATTATATTGGTTTATGAAACAGGAAAGCCTCTCAGGTTGTTTGCTTCTCATTATTGCCACAAAGCAGAAATAAAACAAGTTGATGCTGCTTTCATCAGGTATGATTCAAGAAGCTGGAGTAGCCTTTCCACAAGATGTTAAAGAAGTTGGAAATACTCCTGTCCTTTATTTTATAATTCATTTATGTTATCATTTATGACTCATTTTCTAATATGCATAAATATTAACTGTACATTTGAGATTTTACCGAGTGTAATAAGTATGTGCGTGTGCGTGGTGGGATTAATCCTCTCCATTTTTTTAATTGACTTTAAACTGTCCAAAGTACCCATCTTTATTTTTTTTTTCGAATGTATCTCAGCCTTCACTTCCTAGGTTTTTGATATAAAAATCTGGTTTCATTAAATGCAGTCCAAATTAGATCTGTGAACAGTATGAATTTTTGTTAGACTTGTTAAAAGCTAGTCTTTAAAACAAGCAGCTTTAGCCTGCCTTAGCTTCATCGTTAGCCTGGTTAGCTCAGCATCAGCACCACCAATTAGCCGACTAGCAGCTGGCTAAGGTCAGTAGTTAGCTGCTAACTTAAGCTAACGCTGTGTCTATCATAGTCTGCTTATCTGTCCGGTGTGTCTTTGAAGATTGTTGATATCGGTTACCATATCCTCCTTAGGCTATTTAGCGTTAAATATGGACTAACTAAGCCGCATTAAGGCAGCCAATTTGAAATTAGCTTCAGGCTTTATTGATGATCCAGGTCTTACCTTGCTGAAAAGCCACCACCTCCGTTGCTGCTGTCGCTGTGCCACTGATGATGATGATGATTGTCGGATTCCCCGGTGATTCAGGTTCATAAAAATGCAGGCAGAGCTTCACATTTTGGACATCCACTTCACGTTGAACGCTTCAGTCGTGTCATTTTAGCAGTTGTTTGCTAGCTAATGCTGTTAGTGCTCACAACGCAACAGAGGAGCTTTAGTACCGTAGTGCTGGGCTGCAGTGAGATGAATGAATGAGTGAACAGCTTCCAGTCGCTTCTCTGTTTTCCATAAGGAGGAACCACCCAAACCTTCTGGGATTTAAACAATCAACCAATCATTCAGCATCCAGCTTTACATAAGTCAGTGCTGCATCGTCCAAGTATGAAACAGTATGTAAACATTTAAGACTAACTCTTTAAATGTTTCATTCTGATCATATTCTGTGCCGTCATGCTATGGTTCAGGTCCATTTTGACCCGACCATGAATTCCCTCATAATAAATTTCTAAAACTCATTTTCAAGTACAGATCGAATTATAGTGTTTAAATAGTAATCGGTTCAATTCAATTTATATTGCGCCAAATCACAACAGCAGTCACACTGAGGCGCTTCTTATTGGGCTTTATAATACAGAGAAACCCCCCCAAAATTTAACAACCCTCTTAACATGAAGTAACTAACTATGTGCATATTAGTATTGTACAGCACTTTATATAGCACTTTAAAAACACACCTGGTAGACCAAAGTGCTATATAAATAAATAAATGATAAATGTTGATGATGATAATCTCAAGCAGAGCCAGGCTCAGGGGAGGGCAGCCAGAAGTGGTTGTGGGTGAACGGGAGCAGGACAGGATAAAAGACAAACCATGGAAGAGAGCCAGAGATAATGCATTCATGCAGAGTGGTGTATAAACACATGAGTGAGTAAAAGAGGTAAGTGAAAAAGAAACACTCAGCACATCATGACCCGGAGCCTAGGCCTATTGCAGGTAAGATTCAGTGTCACTTGATCCAGCCTTAACTATATGCTTTATCAAAATGGAAAGTTTTGAGCCTAATCTTAAAGGTGGAGAGGGTGTCATAAAGATCCTCATAACTAGCATTTATAATTATCAATAAATATTAAATAAATGCAGATCGGCTCTACCTTGTTTCTTTTGAGCTTGGTTTCAATCTCTGTTAGTTTAATCATATCTTTTAAAAAGATATATTATATTTTGCTATTGTTAAATTATTTTCTTACAGTGTGATTATTTGTGCTTGCAGATGCAAAGTGCACAGGCACAAATACCCAGTTAGGCACATAATGCATTCACATTTATCTACTCCTTGAGTGGTCTTACTGACACTTAAAACACTTTATCTACCTCTCATGCATTAACCTACAATGTATGCCTCTGGACTGTGGAAGAAAGCCCACTCCAGACACTGTGGAGGTGGTGTGAAAGGCCTCAGCTAGGATTTGAACCAGGAAACCTGCTGTGACCACTCTATCACCATGCCGGGCTTGACTCTTAACTGCATAATTAAAGCTTAGATGCATTTAGGCCCCCTAACTGATGATGATAATAATAACATGTTAAAAAAATAACCCATTATTTAATAAAAACTGTTGTTGTAATGTGTTGTTTTTTTTATTCTTAAAGCTTTCACAGATATGCATGTTAAACAAATGTCAACGAGCTTATTCTGCAAATGCAAGGAAGCTTATTCTTTTGATGCCACAAAGACATACCAACATTAGCTTTTTATTTAAGACAACAAGAAAAAACGAAAACAGTATAAAACAAAATGAACATGCCAAGACAAACTGGTTAAATATATTTACATATATAAAGTCAGAAACACAACATTATGGTTTCTTTTTTCTTCATTACTTTCAGCGCATTGATACACAGTTATACAGAACTGGTATTGGGGGGTGGGGGGGTAAATCCTCATTAGCAGCTATCGGAAATGTTAAAACAAAGGTAGAGAAACAGAGTTCACTCACTTTTTTCCCGTCTGCTCTGCCAGTTATTACTCACCGTGCTCAATAAAGACATGTAATAGCATGTATAAGTTGATGATGATGAACACATTTTATGAATAATCAATGCAGAAATTCCAGTTGTTCTTAACAGTCTGCAAAATTGCCAAAATACATGCATGTCAATCTCCAACAATGGGACAGGTGCTGCAGATTTTTTTCATGAACTTCACAAACTTTTACTTGCAGTAGTAGTACAAGTGTGTAGTTGTGTCATAGAAACAGAAGTGTGTGCACACAGTGAGTTTTTCTCCACACTTTACTCTCATTTTGTAGCCCTCCTGAGCCATGCTACTTTTCAAAAATAGTCATCACAGACCTTTGGATCTGCTGTCACCTTTTTCTTTGGAAGTGGTGATATTTTATTGTTTTCCTAGAGCAGGGCTGATTTTTTTTAATGCCTCCTTTTCAACAGGCTAGGATTCCAGAGTTTTTCCTGAAATAAAGAAGCTGAAGTAGCAAAGGTAATGATGAGCAACCGTTCAGATTGTGTCATTACTGTTTGCTCATCCCAAAACTGAACCATAGCTGTCCTGTCGCATTGTCAGGCCCACTCCATTTCACTGCCCTGCAGGTCCGTGTCAGGGCTGGATGGGGGTGTGATAAGACTGGGCTGCAATGGCACAGTTTCCCCAGAGTCTTCCCCTCCTACGGCAACACAACTCTGATGCACTCCCACAAGGCGTAATACATTTGACCCTGTTGTGAATGCTGACAGTCTCTGGGCTAGAGCCCGTGATGCCATCCTGAGCCCCCCTGCTCTTTTCCGTCTGGCTGATGCAGTAGCTACTTGACGAGCTCCAGCCAGTTCAGTCAGGAAACCCAGGCTCTGGGATGGAAGGCTGTAGACATGCAGGCCTCGGAAAAGTTCTGGCAGCGGTCGGAAACTACCTGGGGGCTCAGGTGGGAGGGATTCAAATTGCACCAGCATAAACCGTTCGCCAGCGCGGCCCTGTAAGTAGTCTGCTAGAACACAGCTCAGTGAAGCACTGAAAACATCTGCACAGCGAGAAGACCCAGGGTAATCTCTTCCTGCCTCTTCTTCTTTCACATGTCTTTTCCTCTCTGAGCGCTGAGCTCCCCATTCTTCAGCCTTTGTCCAGGAGGCCTGGGTTAGGACTAGCACCACTTTGCCCCCTTGCCTTTGTAGCTGATCAAGTTGTGAGTGGAGCCACGGCACAGGTCCCAGCATGCTGAGCTCAGCATGGCTCCACAGGTCTAGAGACACACTAAAGCCCAGTGATTGGAGAGATGAGCCCAAATGACACAACAGCTCTGGCAGGCAAGGGTTATCATCAGGTGGGTACAGCAACACAACATGAACACCGCCCACAGCCCCTGAAATAGCAGATGTCAATGGCTACAATCAGTATTTGATCAAAGAAATCTACAGAGAATTATCACTCAAATCAAGATTATGGCATAAAAGTCAAGTAAGCTTGGAAACAAAAACAAGGAATGTGGAAATACTGGTGGCCCAGTGTGAAATTAACATCAGGCTTTCTCCTACCTTTAACGTCTTCGTCTTTCAGCCACTTCCAAACATAGCCTGTATGGAAAACAAAGATACCTTCAAGATATTTTCTAAGAACACTTATTCAATTATTCTGTTTTTCAGTGACACTCGAACAGGAAACTGACCTTGTAGAATCCCTTGTATTAAATACGCTCCCAGTATTGCTAAACACACGAGTAGTAATCCAATGATGAGCACCACGCTCCATCGCAATCGAGATGCTGTAAAAATGTGAAAATATGAAACTTTAATAAAGAAATGGAATGTTCTATTTTTTTTAAAAGGTCACTATGTAGTTGGTTATTTGTTACATAGTAATGAAAGAAAGTGGGATTTTTTAGATGTTGCTTGAAAAAAATAAATTATTCCATTAATCTAATAGACAGCAATGCAGTCTTACTGGCAAACGGACACTGGGGCTCTAAGAGTGATTTTGTCCCGTTAATCTTCATCTAAAAAAATAAAGGCAGACGTTTATGTTAGCACAGTCTGTATAGTGATAAATGCATTCACAGTTTCATGAATAATTTTATGTTTGATCACCTGAACACATAGCAGAGGGTGAGATGGCACATTGAACTCTCCGGTTTGCTGAAGGGTTCAAAGAAAAGTCATAGTCAATCACAGCCAATAAAGAGCGATAAAGAAAAAAGAGAAGATTCATCACCGATCCTTTTGACTTCAGTGAACCATCATAACAGAACAAAATGCAGCATGTCATTCAAATCAACAAATGCAACTGACAGAGGCTCTTCACGCATCACCTGACTTGCATTTTTCTTTTCTGTTGTTTGCTTGCAGCCAGTTGAAAAAACTTTTGTAAAAGCTTTGTTCCCACACATTGGGGCACTGGATGATGCGCAGACATTAAATATTTCAAGGATTAAAAGAAACAAAACAAAAATAGAAAGTTTGCATTCTCAAGACATTTATAAAACCTCTGTTACAAATTGTTTTCCATCTAGTTCTGATATTGTAAGATCACCACTCATGAATGTGATCTCTTTTATGTGATCATGATAAAAGAAAGCGTCATGGCTTCACGTTCCCCATGGTTCTGCTTTTTAAGCATGTCTAAATTTCTGGTGTGTTTAAATCAACCTTCTGGTAATTTATTGGCTAATCCAGTCATTTTAAACATTCTAGTTTAAAACTGTATTTTTAGAGTTGAATTAACCCCCCCCCAAACTGAATTAAGCCTTAAAACTTCATGTTGAGACTTCAAATTCTAGTACAACTGAATATCTATTTAAATGTTGGACACATTCTTTCTTTTCTTTGTTTTTTCTTGAGGTGAATCAAGCTTGGAACTGTTTCGCCATTCTTCTGTAGATATATCTGTTTGTCTGAGTTATGTAAAAGGCAGAGGATGGTTTGAACTGAGTGACTCATGACAGAGATATTTCAAGGCAAACAAGGCAGCTCTGTATGAAGTTAAGCCCAAAATGAGGAAGATGGTCAGAAATAAGACTCCAGTTATTAAAATAATCTTAACTGACTGTTTGCTGTCTGCTTTATCTCTGGTTTGTTACATTTGGAAGAAGGGAAAAAAAAAATCCTATTTGCTTCTTTGTTTCTGCGTTTTTCTGACTATAAGGTTTAAAGTTTATTTTTGGTGCTAACAATGCATTGTTTTTCTGGAGACACAGTGAAAAGAACATATTGACTCATAGCAGTCATTTCCAAAATTATAACAGTGGCTCATGAAAACTACATTACATCACACTCAGGATTTTTGCTGTTTTTACCAAGTATCTGTTGCTTCGTTCATCCCATTTAGCTTGTAGTCTCTGTCTGGAACCCATCACCTCTTCACACTGGCCTCCCACCTGGCCTTTCTTGCACAGCCACACCTCTGCTTCCAGTATACACGGCGCACTTACATTCCAGATCAGCCCTATGCCACCATCCCTCAGCTGAGACTCCACCAAAGTTGCAGACACACTGCGCTGCATATTTTCGAGTGCACCTAAAAAAACAACAACAAAAAAACCCAACAACAACAACATGCAATTCTCCATGTCTGAAAATTAATGTCCCATGCAAATGTCTTCTGAAGTTGATGTCAGGCAACACCATTTACCTTCATTGTTTTTGAAAGGGCAGATTTGTGTTCTTAATGATCCCTTCCACCATGCCTGTAAATAATTTTATATTTATTATATTATATATATTTATGTATTTTCCAATAGCTTAGCTGTCACTTAATATTTTGGCTTACCTGGAAGCACAGGCATGGTGCAACAAAGTCTGATGGTATGACCACCTCATCCTTCTCTTTGGGCTGCCAAAGATGAAAACAAAGTTAAACAAACAAATAAACATGCATGATGCTGATTTTGCATTACCAGAACAAAATATTGACCCACCCATTCACGCTGTTCTGCAGGAATTTTATCCCAAACCATCTGCCATGTGATTGCATCTCCTTGTCTGACATCAGCTTTTACAAGTTGCAGTTTGACATTCCTCCCCTGATCTTTCACACAGAGTCTGGGACCTTAGTTTCAATAGTCATAAATTAGAACTTGGCTGGATCAACTCACTCAATGGTGTAAAATCGTTTTTACCAGGCCTGCATTTTACTCCTGGGTTTTGAAAGTGTCTTACCACATTCCTTTATAGTTCCGTTAGGCTCCTCATCACAAACTGAAAAACAGAGGGTGTAGTAAATGTTGGGTAACACTGCTCTACAATTCATCATATTTTTGCTCCCATTAACTTAAACTCACCATTTTTTAAAGAGGGAAGTGTCATATTTTGACTCTTTGAGTCTACACTGACCATAACAGGACTGCCGAACTGCACTTTTTCTCTCAACAGCAGCTGGAAGTGCAGGAAATATGTAGTAAACTTTAAAACATTTAATTGTATATAGTAAAGCTCTTAGATTGAGTTTATGAGAATGCAGAGAGTCTATCCATAATGGAGAAAGCATTCATATCTGTTACTTAGGCAGAAACATAAAAATAGAACAGTTTAAAACAACATCCTTAATTGAATATTCAACTCAAGTGAAGCGCAAAGTACAAATGAGGTGTGATCCCCCCCCCCCAAAAAATAGTGCACTTGTTAAGCAACAAAATATCTCTAATTAATGGTTGATAGTCTGAGCTCCAAAAGAGCAACATGGGCCCGCCCTCTTGTGGGTGGCTGTAGCTCAGGTGGCAGAGCAGGTCAGCCACTAATCAGAAGGTCGGTGGTTCGAGCCCAGGCTGCATCCTGGCTGCATGCCAAATATCCTTGGGCAAGATACTAACCCCGTGTTTGCCTACTGGTGGTGGTCAGAGGGCTCGGTGGCGCCTGTGTCCGGCAGCCTCGCCTCTGTCAGTGCTCCCCAGGGCAGCTGTGGCTACAATGTAGCTTGCTATCGCCAGTGTGTGAATGGGTGGATGACTGAATGTAGTGTAAAGCGCTTTGGGGTCCTATGGACTAGAAAAGCGCTATACAAATGCAGGCCATTTGTGGGCTCCAGGAGGTGTGGGGTTGTGCCGTGTCTGGGGGTTTGTGTTTTTTAATTTGTGTGCGAGTTCTGGTTTCTGTCTGCTATGTTTGCTTGCATTATGATTTTATTACTCTTACTTTAGTTTATTGTACAGGTTTGAATTTACTTTGCTTTTAGTACTTGTTGGTTTAATTCTAGTTACTGTTTGTATTTCATAAGTTTGCTGCACCCTTCAGTGCCTCATTTGTCACTGTTTAAATTAGTTGCTGTCATGTCTTGTTACCCTCCGTGTTTAACTGATTACCTCATATGTCTATAAATACCCCTAGCCTTCTGTTTAATCTTTGTATTAATATCCTCTTCATGCTTGTTTCCAGTTATTTATTTAACAGGCAACTTCCTTATAGAATTTTGCAACAACCTAAAAAAAAAAAAAAAAAAAAAGTGTGACGTGTTACTTATTCCCTGTTATTTGAGGCGCAATTCCAATCTATGCTTACTTGTGCTACTATCTGGACTGGAACCGAAGAAGGAAAACCTAAACTCAGACGTTTGAAACATGAAAAATTGACACTATTTTGCCATGTTTGATAGTTAAGAGTTTGTTGTTTGAATGATTATGACATTTTAAATGTCTCTTTCATGTAGTGAAACAAAACAAATATAGTCTCCAACCCCACAGATTACTTAATTAATCCCGAATAAAAACAAATCAGACAATAAATAATACCTTCACTCTTTCCTAATGTTACCTTATATGTCGACTTGCCAACAGTGGTGTTGCTTTGTTTAAAATAGAGTATCTTCCAACAGTCTAACGTTCCCGGGACACTAAAATGCACTTTCACAAAATCTGTAATATAGAGAAAAATGTCATGGAAAAATATGTTACATTTTTTGTGCTCGAAGCACGTGATTCTAACTGCTAACAAACTCAAACTTTGTTCTGCTGTTTGACACACACACACCTTCTTTTTCGCCGTCATCACCCGACTCCTCAGAAACATCCGTCACGATACCCATTTCGTCAGCTTGGATCATCATCATGTCAGCAACATTAAATACAACATTAGTTCATGACATGTGACAGGTTAACAAGCTCGACAGCTATGATAAGAATGCAGGAAAACATTTTAACATTAAGAGCGTTGCCATCAAATATGATGCTTGACATCATTATGAAATGTGCGTCCCAGTAGTCTCTCAAAATGATTTATGGCAAAGCTACCTTGTAGAGTGATGGTGACTTGAAGGCAAAGACTGCAGTTCTGTTTGTTTGAACAGCAGAGAACACTTTCGAGCTGCAACTGTGTAACGTCAACTTTACTGTATGGATCAGGGAAGTCATCAGAAAACGGAGCTGTGAAAACAAGAGCGTTTCTGCTTTAGACAAAAAGGTTTATTTGGGATTGAGATTGAGATGATAACAGTGAGAGTGGATGTGCAAGTACTGATCATGCTGCTACCTTGATCCACATGGCAGTCAGTCAAACCCTGAAGAAAGAATAAAATGTGAACGAGAGTTGAATGAATCACATCTAAAAGGTACCACTGATGTCAACAATTGTAAGTAAAATGTCTGGTAAATAGAGACATATCCTGCATATTTTTTAAAAACTAAGTTAAACGCTTTCAATTTATCACACAACTGTAGTGAGCAGCTTCAGATATTTGAAAGCCTGATTCCAAATATTTTTATAATAACATTTCGGTTATTTAAAAAAAAAACTTTATGCATTTATATTTCCTTTGTTCTGTCTATTTTTTATTGTTATTACTTTTCTCTTGCAGTAGTAGTAGAGTAATTCTTCTACAATATCTTGCTTCCCCTTGTTTTGGCTGCTCCCTTTAGGGGTCACCGCAGCAAATCCTCTGCCTCCATCTGACCCTATCCCCAGCGCCATCATCCTCTTTTCTGAATATTCAGCATCCTTTGCCCACTTTATCAACTCTCTCTGCTCTTCACATGTGCAAACCAACTCAACTTTGCCTCTCCAAAGTACTGTACCTGAGTTCCTCCTTTGATGTATTATTTTCTAATTTTGTCCATCCTGTTCACTACCAATGGAAATCTTCAGCTCTACCACCACCTCAATTTCTTGTCTTTTTTTAAAACATTATATTGGAGCTTTTTGCCTTTATTACAGTGATGAGTAGACAGAAAAGCAGAGAGAGAGTGGGGGGGATGATAGCCTCGGGTTGAAGCTAAATGCAGGCTGCTGTATTTTGCTTCCTGCCTCATGGTCACCTGCTCACTCTGGGAGCTACACTGACATCTGGCATCAGAGCCACAGACGACAGGAGGTCTCACTACCAAATTAATAACCTTCCCTTTCACTCTTGCTACCATCCTGTACTATCCGCTACTACCACAAATCACCCTGACACTTATCTCCACTCACTCCAACCTGCCTGCACTCTCCTTCACTTCTCTGTTGCTTTGGATGGTTGAACCCGGGTATTAAAACCACCTACACCTGTCTACTTCTCATTCACACACATGTATTCTTTCTTGCTTCTACTAACTTTCATTCCTCTTCTCTCCAGTGCAAACCTTCTCCTATCCAGCTTCCCCTTCTTTTTGCTCCCTACTCTCACTCATCTGTGAGCATCATAGTCCATGGAGACTCCTGTGTGATCTCATTTATAAGCATGTCCATCACCATCGCAAACAACAAGGGGTTCAGATCCCATAACGGATGAAATCCCACCACCAGCTTGAACCTATCTGTCACTCTCCATCATGGTTTCTCTCCTGATATGTGTCTTGCACCACTCTGTTATTTTTGCCCACACCTATAGAATTAAAGAGGATCCATACTCATCCTGCCATCACTATATTAACTCTTATCTGATGCTACTGCAATGACTTATTTGCTTTCATTCCTGCGTGCTTTGAATGCTTTTATCTCTGTTCTTTGACAAATCAGCAACGCCTATGAAAATGTCATGTCGATGTCAATGATGTTCACTGCTGCTTAAAGTCAAGGAATAAAGACAGTTAAGATTTATGTAAGTAATGTTACATACTGCATCATGTGCATAAATACTGCCATTTCTGACACAATAGTTTCAGGGAAGTCAAGCTACCTTCCACGGAATTGGAGTGGCGGAGTAAGGTGCCAGACTCAGGTAGATGAGTAAATAAGTAATGAACATCTGACTCAGGACAGGGTGTCTCTTATCCTAATTTTCCAAGAAGACGACGTTTGCACAGTAAATTTTGTTCCCTTTGCACCTACATTTTTTTTTTAAATAGATAGCAATAACAAAATTTGGTAACACACTTTTATAGTTAGATCACTTAAATCATTAACCGCCCATAACTTGCGTTGTTTCTATTTTATTAGACAGATTTATGTCTGACCTGATAATGACGCTATAGTAGACATAATACAAGCGCTACAAGCTTAAAACTGAGCAGTCATAAATACTCTCGCCCCATAGAGAAGAGTCACTCTTTAACCGCTTGATTCCAAAAGAAACATTTCTCAGTTCCCAGGATTCCCACTTACCTTGCTGCAGGTGAACTCAGGTGTGTCTTGGTCAAAAATCTCCAGCGCGCCTGCCGACACGAATAGCCAGAAACACAGCGATAACAGCAGGGAGACCACGTGTGGCACCCACCGGCGTGTGAGACCCATATTTTTGGAGTGCGCCTAGCACAAGCCCTTTCACTCCGACGCACGTCTCCTGCTCCACGGCTACGCTCCCCTCCTCACGGGACACATAAAAATCAGAGCTTCTTATACTTAAAGCACTGAGCTCGGCAGGATGAGAAAATCGCGATCATGTCTAGCTCGACAGTAGCGACGCGTCGTGAGGCTCCTGGGATTTTGCTTCACCGCCCTTCCTGATAACTGAATAATCTGGAGTTGGGCGTGTAGCTGCGCCACCTGCGCAGGTTTGATGGGAGGAGGGGGCAAAGCTGTCAGCTGCAACGTGAGTTTCTGCAGGGCTGGTGAATCATTCAGCAACATAAACATAAAGCGACACGCACACCAAATTGTAAAAACAAACTTGCTTGGCAACATGACTCACACTGATTGTTGTGAAGAGAGAAAGTCAAAAAGTAACAAGAAGCTGATCGAACAAAAGTCTGTTTAGTTTTCATTATCTTAAACGGTCACAACAACCACGTGTTTGCCAACATTTTTATGGTCTATTTTTTATGTTCTTTGAGAGTTTTTTTTTTTTGCAACAGATTGAAAACAGTCGTAATGAGTCAGCGGGAAGAGTTTCATTATGTTGCTCAGTTAAACTTTGCCATCATCGTGACAATAATGATGTAGATGGATCCTTTATGGTTGTTGTTGTTGTTGTTTTCACTTGCAAGCTGCTTAGTCGTTTTTTCCGTTTTCCTTTACACTGTAAAAAGAATAACCCTATTCAAATAAAAAAAAAATGATGTCCGGTTGTCACATCCAAAATATTTGGCTTTATAGAATCCAAATTGAGTCACTTGATATGACCTGATACTTTTATGTTGATATAAACAATATTACTAGACTTGACTGAAACTTTAAATTTTGCATTGATCCAAATTGATTTTTTTTTTTTACATAGAACCATATTTTAATTATTGAACCAAGCTAATATATTGAAATTTAACCAACCTAATGTATTCACATTCGAACCAAATTAACATGAACTAATATGTTTGTATTGAAGCCAGGTAATTGATTTACATATATTCAAACTATATTTTTTACATTTCATTTCAGTTCAAAAATGCTCTGCATTTCCTATAAAAAACAAGACAGTTGGCCAACCAATTATTTCAAAATTATTTATTGTTCCAAACCATTTTAACTATAATCAATAGAGAGGATTAGTAATATACAGATTTAGTGCTACGGCAGAAATGATTAGAGAAATGTTTGTTTTATAAAACCTGCAATCTTTTGAAAACCAGTATAAAACCTGCAACCTGTCTAAAACTGGCATAAAACCATTATAAAAACTCTTTTTAAACCAATTTGCAAGTACTCAAAAATGTTTATATGTGCACTGTGCCTGTACAATGTAAAAAAAATAAAATAAATCTACACATGTATCAATGAAATCAACTTAAATCTCCCTTTCAAATGGGTGTTCTTATAAATTTTGAATGTAGAATACCACTGCAGGCCAACCAAGCAAAATAACCAAGCACACATGCACATGCATGCAAACACACTACTGTGCAGTGTTAAGTTCACAATTAAGTTTGCGAATCTTAGATGTCATCTTGTTAAAGTCAAGCTCCATCATAATCTTTTGAAGAGCCTCAAAGGTGAACCTGAATCCTCGTGGATATTCCATATTAAGAGCATAACAGAGTCCAAAGACCATTGCCACTCCAGCTGCCACAGAAGGCAACTCATTCAGGACTTCCACACCATCAATGATTATCCCGATGTCTCGAGGCTGATGTAGGAGGCTTGAGTTGTCCCTGAAGACGAAGAGTGCCATGGTTGTACTCTGCAGCTCTTCCTCAGCTTCATCTTTCTGGGATATCTTGAGGTAAAATATGGAACAAAATGTACAAGTGAAGAACTGAAGTCTGGCACACCTGATAAATCTTTGACCATAATAAACTACTATTTTGATAGTTGTTTGGTCACAGACTATTAGAACAATTATTTGCCTAATCAGATTGTGAATTGCATAATCATTCAATTAAATCAATAGTGGAACATTTTCATAAATGTTCCACAAAGCCCAAGAAAAAAAAAGAAAACAATACAGAACCCTAAGATATTAACTTGATGAGTTGATTAATCGTTGCTGTCCTACATTAATCACTGCATTTAATAGCAGAGTTGTCAAATTTACATCAAGAGACTGCATCTCATGTAGAGACAGAACAGATATGGACATACCATGTATTCTTTTATCAAGTCCTCAACACATCAGCAAGGTGAATGAGAGGATAATGAGGGAGAGTCTAGATTATTATGAAATGTTTAAAAAGGATGTGCAGTGTAAATGCAAAATGATACCTGTTCAGATTAAATGAAAATGTATGCTTCAGCCATGGAATGGATGGAGCGATCTGTGGTTCTGAAAGCATACAGAAAAAAAAGAATAATGTTACTTCTCTATAAAACACATTACATAGAAAAACCAAGAAATACGTAACATGACATACCAAACAGTCTACAGACCAGCCATTAGCGACTAAGTTTGGCATAGGGTCAATTTTTTGCTGTTAAAATTACAATTTCTTCAGAAAATGCACATTTTTCCGAGCCGCGCCTGAAAGTCAATTGAAGGAATTAGTCTTATGTCACTGATGTTATATGCTGGCGTGTTATTTCTGTCTCTAAATCATGCACATTAATAATTATCTTTTGCGCTCGGTGTACACACACATAACACACAGATATTTATATGACGAGAGACAAACGTGCGCGCACAAACACAAGCTTGTGTCTAGAAACCGCGAGCTCACCAGAAAAATTCAAACGAAGCGGAGCACGGAGTTATACTATGAATGTTATGAACTATGAACTTATGCTAGCTAGCTGTATCCACCACCGATGCATCGTGGTAACGCTAGCTAGTTAGTATACTGGTAAAAAACGGCTTTTTGCCTAACTTGCATTCCCGACTGTGATGGTCGGTTTCTGGTAACCAGTTCTAACATTGCGCAGGATAGCTAGCTAGCTTATAGCTAGCAGCTACAATCATGCAAAAATTAGGGGTGGCTGTCGACCCAGCTTAAATGGGGTTATTTTCTGCAATTTTGGCAATACAAATTATAAAAGCTTTTGTAACACACTTGGCTTTACTTACGTTTATTTTCGGATGAAATTAATCAAAGATGTGACACGATGTTTCCAGCAGCCATGCAGAATAAAAATGGGTCCCGGTCTATTTCTGGTGGGCGTGTTCAAGTGCAAATCACTTTGACTCAATTTAAAGATATTATCTGTTCAACATGAAAAGAAATATATGTTTTGAGAGAAATCAAAAACTTTGCGTTGTGTCCTTTGTACAGATATTTAGTTTCATCCAAATCAAAAGTGGTATTTTAAAATGCAAAAAGAAAGGGTTTCACAATCAAATCAATGATTTTATTCTGTTTTGAATGGCACTTATTAGATTGAATGAATGACTGCATGTTAGACTTTTTTCAGTGTAACTTCTCTCTAACTGAACATGCCAATTTGGTCCACACTGTGTGTTAGATTAGTAATCTTATCAAGAAAACTGAAACACCTGCACTAACAAACTCTTTCGTTTCACTTCTCATTTTATGGCACCTGAAACATGACCAACATTGCTTGTTTAAACAACTAAGACCCAAACTCTTTCATGGCTCGCATTTTTAATTTCTCTTTGATATTTGGGCATATTGGGACCCGATGAATGTAAAAACAAAGAAATAACAGATTTTTCCTTTTTTTTCTTTTTTACCTGAATTTTGTTTTTAAGAGAAATGAGAGCCTCATATGAAGATATTCGTTTAAAATTTCAATCGAACAGTATAATGTCCTCATAAGTGGATATCAGGCCCTTGTAGAACAAAATTGACTATTTTGGTTTAAATAACCCAAAATTGATGTCCACATATGTGGATGCCAGGTCCTAGGAGGTTAAGAGAGATATGCAAACCATGCAGATGCATATATACATTTGTCTATTACCAGAGTAAATGCCCTCCTTTGCAGTTTAAACAAAATGATACTAGCTAGACATGTAACTTGTTTGATTTACGTATTTATTTTATGTATTTATTCATGTAACATTATAAAATTGTGGCTTTATTGCAGCTACAGTATTACATCAAACTACCCTCCAGAGGTCTTGTAGGAATCTAGAAACTTACATGGAAACCTTCGTGTTTTCTTTGCTGTGGGTTGCTAAATCATGCAGCAGACGTTTACTTCACGATTAATCCTGTCTAGCAAGTCTGTCACTCAAGCTCCTGCTCGGTGATGTGCTGCCGGAACTCAAATGAACAAACAACTTATTATATGAAGTTCATAAAACAGGCAACAAATACAGAAAAAAGAAATTTCTGCGATTAAAGAGATACTTTGTCAAAGTAATTATTTTGTCAAGCAGTCTGTTTTTTATTCAAAACATATTCTTATAATGCAAACAGTGCCGCAGGCTAATGCCACCTTAAAATACTTAAGAAGGGAAAACAGCTTCAGGGAATAACTAAAACTGAACAAACACTTCTTCAAAGGTCAATCACTTTTGTCTGTAGATCCAGACGAGATGTCACTTTTCTGTTTAAACTCACTTTGCATAATGTTCACCGTTGAAGTTCATAAAACTTCTGCAATAAATATAAGACATGGGAAAGTACCACAGACACGGTTTTCTTGTTCTAATGCTCTGAGATTTTGAGGTAACCACTGCACTACATGTTTTCCGTTGGATAATTTGAATAATACTGGCTTTATCTGTTTCTGTCTCATTGAGTCCCCCAGCCAACTCTTACCATTCATGTTCATTTTTCGTTTCCATTCATTAAATAACAAGCATAGCGAAAAACACAATGGGGAAAAAATACAACAACAACAAAAAAAGGCCAAAATGTTAATTATTCTTCACTTTTAAAATGCAGGAGGTAGTATGTGTGCAAAAAACACACTTGTAGACACAGCTGTAGAAGTAGCCCCAGTCATAAATAGGAGTTATTACTACAAAAAGCTATCAAACCCACTAAAGGCTAAAAAGATAAACACACGAATGCAGTTACTTTCTAATTAGTGAAGCACATTTTACATTTGCAGTAAAAGTGGAAATCCCATGAAAGCTTTGGCTTAATGTCTGTGTTTAGAAAATCTTATGCAAATTTGACGGTTTTTTGTAAACAGCAGTCACGCAGTTTGTCACCTGTGCTGTCACAACACTTTGAAACATTAAATGTGTTCATGAAAAAAGTGGGGTATTATTTGCAACAAGATTTTCATAGTGGTTAGCATATTCGTGCAGATAAGACAGGTGTTCACTAGGGCTCCAGTCACGAAAGCAATATAAAGAACCCTCTGTCAGAGGCTAAATGCTGTGCAAAGGACAGAGTGTTTACCTCTTCTTAACATGCAAAACATCTTGTGGCATACTGGACACAGCAGAGCTCGGTAATGAATAGTTCGTACAGAGTGAGGGTTTCAGGAGTTTGCAATGGAACACCGGCTCCCGTGTCTCATGTTTCCAGCAAAACAAAAAACAAAAAAACCCACTTCTGTCACTTTGAAACTTGAGATTAAAACTTCTCTGCTTTCCACGGTAGTGGTAGTGTTTCTCCCGTGTAGAAACACATACACCTGCACAGTTCAGGGTCTGGCAGCTAAAGGCCACTTCAGACTGCTCTCAGGCTTATGTAATGTCTTTTTCATCAAGGATATTTTCTTGATTGCACTTTATTTCGTTGTGTCTGAGGCACGAGCGTCTGCAGCCTCTGAGATAGTTTCTGTGCCAGCCATATTGCCAGCACTTTAGAAAGGACTCTGGGCCAGCAGTGCCACCTAAATTCAACACTTCTTGTCATCTCTCCCAGCTCCCCTATTAAACCCCTGAAATCCTGGGGTAAGCAGTACTGACGGACCTCCCTGAAGGCTTTTGGGATATCCTTGCTGTGGCCAAGGCCCTGGAAATAGATAAGAACAACTTCTTGATTTTTGTGCTCCTGCAGCACCCTTTTTAAGCGAGCCAGCACAGCTGTGAACATTGGCTCTATCAATGCAGAGGCCTCCTTTTGTCGGTACGAGTCTTTATCGTCACATAATTTAGCACCATCTTTTTTTCCAACAGCTTTTTCTTTTTTAAATTTTCCTAATTTTCTTCCATTCTGCTTCACATCCTCTTCCAGCTCTGCCTTGGTTTTCTCATGTTTCGTGTGTGCATTTCTGCAGTCTACCTCTTTTCTTTCACTCTGATCTGTGTTTGCCCTCTCTATTGTCCACTTCTGATAGGTTTTCTTGGCTTCAGGACTCCAAATTACAAGCACTTTTCCTTGCTCCTTGCAGACAGCATCCCACTGGCCATACAGCCAGGGAAGTGGGCCCAGATCTGCCACACCAGGCCCCGACTCATCCTGGCTTTGAGAGTTTTGGGCCCACAGAGGTGTGCGTACTGTGGCACCTAGCTCCTCCTGAAGAATTGAGCCTAATGCACACACAGCAGAGATATGGTCCGACTGACCTGATGAACACACCAGCAGCAGTGGCTTCTGGATATACAGCCAACCTAAATTTATCGGAAAAGACAAGGGGGGGGAAAGCATGTCCTTTATGTGTTTTAGTTGCTCCTTTAAGACCAACAAGCTAAAATAACAGAAATGAATTGAAATAAATTCAAGGCAGAGTAGTCATTTAATTTAAATTAGCCTGTGCCTTGAAACTGTAAATGGTTTCCATATGAAAACATGATTTGCAGTGAGGTAAATGAACTAACCTGCAGCTCCCCTCTTTGTAGCACGGTGGATAGAAATTCCAAACGACGCAACTACAAACACAAATATCAGAACTGCCACTGCATACAAGCCGCGTCTATTGTGGGTGTCTGTAAGAAAAACAGGAAAGAATAAATAAAACAGATAATGGTGAATGTATTTACTTTGTAGGAGTTGTGTGTGTGTATGAACATTCAGATGCACCAACTTATGCTGGCAGATTCAGGTTTGTGAGCACACTTACAGTCCGGGCAGAAAATTCTTCTTCCATGACGAACAGGATCCGACTGCCACACCTGAACAACAGCACGAGAATATAGATGATAAAATGCATAAAATCCAGAAATACATACATGTATGTGTGTATGTATATTTACCTGGACGCAAGGATTTTTAGAATAAAAGTGAAGAGGCAAATTTATTATTTTTTCACTTCTGTTTCCTTCCTATAAAATAGAGAACATATGCACACATGTTCACATTTTTGTCCTTTAGCATGAATTTTTTCCTTGTTTTTTAATCTGTATTAAAAATGCATATTTTTTTTACCAACCATTGTAACTGAATGTGCTTTCCCTACAGCTGTGCATTCCCTCTCAGTAAGGACACAGAGTTGGCTTGAAAACGTTGCTGGAGAAAAAGAGTTGACATGTACCATTATCATCTGCCTTCCAGGTCCAATAGAGACCTCCCAAGAAGGCGTATCTGTGGGGGACAAAAAGGAAGACTGAGTGCATAAGGGAAAAGCACACAAACAACCTGAGACTTATTAGAGCTGTTAGTAGAATTCCTCCATCCCACATCCACCCACTCACCTGCTGTAAAAGGGCAAGAGATGTTGCGTATTCCTTGTACAGAAAGCTGTAAAAACGAATTAACATCTGTGAATAAACGGCAGGTAGCGGTAGTTTCCAATCAACGCATCTAGGTGCTTCTCACCTGCACACACATCTGAGGGTGTTTGTCCACTGCAGTAGTGTCATATTTCTGTTAAAAAGTCAAAATTGGTGTTTAAAAAACAAACAAACAAAAATGTTTTTTTTCCACAAATATTCATCATGGATGCTGCTATGCTTACAAGACTGTCTTTCTTCTCCAGGGTGGAGTTAAGCACAGGCGTGCAGAGGTGTTTGTGCTGCATCCAGCAGAGGGAGGCAGAGATGTTCAGCAGGCTGGGGCACAGTGTGTACAGCGTAAAACCGTCCGTGAAGAAAGTGATTTTAGAGGAGGAAAACGCATCTCTGGCATCTGTTGAGGCGATGTTAACGCAAAAAACATTAGAACAACATGCCAATAACATTCCCGGGATGCAAACGTTGGCCAACCTGTATCACCTGTATCACTGGATCACAATAAACACCACCAAACAGACATGCATGAACGCACAGATGTATGTGAACATATGCATTTTAAGGGTCAGTTTTAGACAACGAGACAGACAAAAATAATAACAAAAAAAATGAA